TATCTTTTTACCGATCAGACGTGATTGATCGATGGATGATATGAATGTCAGCGTCATTTTCTATCTATATATCTGAGAGTCAATCTTTCGATCTTAAACTACTTCTTTAAAACATACACTTTCATTGATACTTTTCAATCACATCTAAGAAAAAAAGGCATGGAAGGTTTTCTTTTCTAACCACTCCTACAAAATTAGAGATTCAGTTCAATGATCATAGTCTTCATTTTTTCACTTTACTTCAGTAGCACGCTGTGACAGTTGGACGAACATTGATCCCAATACCATATGGAACAATAATGGCCAGACGGTGGGTGGACGGAATCCAAGACTCTCTGAGTCTTGAGGTCTATTTGTAGCATTCGTAGATGATGATCAAACGATCTATGTAGCTGATTCTTGAAATGACCGTATTGTGGCATGGAAGAGGTCAAAAACCTGAGCACCAAAGTTTGGGGGACCACTTAGGGACGATATTTAGAACGTTTTGAGGCCTACCTAGGAATAATATTTGAAACCTTTTGGGGCCCACTAATAGATGAACTTTTTGAAGGCTACTTAGGGGTCTTATTTAGAGCTTTCTAAGACCCACCTCGAGAGATAATATCTAGAACTTTTTAAGATCTACCTAAGGATGATATTTAGAAATTTTGGGGCGGACTTAGTGATGATATTTTGAACTTTTCTAGGCTTATTCCTGGATGATATTTGGAGGTTAAAAAGTGAGCTTGAAAATACATAAACTCGAAACTTGGAACTCACTTTTCTCTTGTCCTTATTTTGCTAGCTAGTTTCAGTCGATGTCTTATAGTCCATATCAAAAAGCAAGCACTCTAGTAATTCCAGCCTTTAGACTGAAAAAGTAGTTTAAGACTGAACTATTTAGTTAATTAGTACTCCAGTGATTATCACTAATTAAGGTGAGTTTCCAACTCATTAAGACTAGTTTAGAAGCGTGCTCAAACAATTAAGACTAATTAAGCTGAATACTCAAATAACTAAGACTCAGTAGGGTGAATACTAAGTGAGCGAAGTTACCATTAGGTACTAGTGGCGGTAATAGTGGCGTTATTCAGTAACGGTAACAGAAATTTTTTGTATTTCAAGGAAAAGCAAAGTTTTTGAAAGTTGTCTGCAAGTGTCACATAAGTTTTTAAGTCCAGTGTAAACGTGGTCTCTATAGCTTTTTAGATCCTACCGGGGGCGATTTCTAAAGCTATTTGTGACCCACCTACAGATGATACTCAGAACATTTCGGAACCTATCCAGAGATGTTCCTTAGGGCTATTTAGCACCCACACAGCGATGGACAGAGATGCCACTTTTGCGTCAGATTTAAGTAAACTCAAATTTTACGGAAATTACATTTAACTTTTCTTTCTACAAAAGTTAAGTTTGAATGGATTTAAATTAGAAAAAGTTAAACTTATTTTAAGTTTATCTTTTTTGCTCTAAAATTTATAAAATTAAAATTAAATTAATTTATTCTATTCCTTTACAAAAAGCAAGCATGCTATTTTTAGTCAACTATTTATCTATAAATCATGTCTTGCACAATGTTTTCATTGAGCTAGCAGTTCCTAATCTGCCGCAGAACAAATCTCCGGATGGTTTCCAAAAAGTCTTAGCGACTAACTCCAGTGGGTTCCTACAAATTTTTGCGACCTATTTCTTGACGCTTTCTATAACTTTGTAAAGTCTATCTCATGGTGGTTTCTATAACTTCTTAAACTTTATCAGTGGATAGTCTATAAGTCTTTGCCAACCACAGCCGAATAGCCTCGAGAAATTTATATGAACTGCATCCTCATAGACATCGAAACGGTATAGGGAGTATCTTCGTATTCCCTATACCGTTTCGATGTCTATGAGGATGCAGTTCATATAAATTTCTCGAGGCTATTCGGCTGTAACTACAAAAGTACGAACTACAAACGTAACTACAAAAGCTATAGAGACCATCCTCAGATAGGCTCAAAACCTTGTAGAGACCAGCTCCAGATAGCCACTAAAACTTTTACGAGCCATCCTGAGATATGTTTCTTCATCACACGGGGACGCGCTGACAAAGTGAAAATCTTCTGTAAGACCAGATTTACAGACAAATAATCTATTAAAAACAAGAAAGATACTTTTCACCATGAACAACAATAATTTAATTTAAGTTTATTAAAATTTACAAAAATTTAAAATAACAAAACAGTTGCATTAAAAATAAGCTGAATTTTTCCAAAATCAAATTTAGAGTAAGTTTAATTTTGATAAACTAAAAGGACAGGGTCGCATAAGAACCTATTTTGGCCCCTTTTGATTTTTCAGCCCAAATCTAATTGTATTACATATAGAATAAAAGATCATGAACTCCCGATCATTTTGATACTAAATTCGAGATATTTTTAATGTTTATAGGTATAAACGGGATCTATCTTCTCCATATACTAAATAGCTAGGGTAGTCACTGACAGTCGCCAACAATGTTAGCAACCGTTTGAAAGAAAATAAATCAAGGTAAATAGTGATTTATAGTTATTCTGGTAGCCCTTGTTTTACATTTTCATAATAAATGTTAATTCAAAAGTTTCGACCTCTCTCTGTAAAGTGACGTTATGAATACGTATATAGATAGTTTATTGAAATATATAATTTTGTAGAGAATGAGAAGAGCTATCATCTGAAAACATGTTTGAAATTGTGTCGTAGTTATGAAAAGTTATGATCATTTTATTCATGATGACTGAGCATTTAATACGTTACATTTTTTTGTAAAAACAAAAAATTCTTTAATGTTTGAGTCATTTAAGTCGAGTGAAACATTGTTTTCTATATGTTTTTACTAGATATTTTTATATGATTCGATAGAATTCGACAAGTTCTACAAGAATATGAATATCAGAAAAATTCTGATCCTTTTTCCAATACAAAACTTGAACGAAACCAGAACGACTAATAAAAATTTAATATATCTTGCATTAGAGAGTACGCTTCACTTTCAGTAACTCTAGCTGATCGACACGACTGCTAATTTATATTTTGAAACGCAATGTCACATACTGAAGTGGAAAATAACCTTTCCAAACTTCATGAACAGACGGAACAGTCAATCAGCTGAATTTATTGAAAGTTCAGCGTACTCTCTATAATGCAAGATACGTGAAATTTTTATTAGTCTTTCTGATTTCGTTCAAGTTTTGTATTGAAAAGCGCATCACAATTTTTTTGACATTCATATTTTTGTAGCGCTCGTCAAACTCTATCGAAACATATAAAAATACTTAACAAACGATATTTCGCTTCAGACGTTACACGCATATTTTGTTTTTGCAAAAAAATGTAACGTATTAAATGCTCAGTCATCATGAATAAAATGATCATAACTTTTCGTAACTACGACACAATTTCAAACATTTTTTCAGTTATAATAGCTCTTCTCATTCTCTACAAAATTATATATTTCACTAAACTATCTATATATATCATATAGATAACGCCAATTTACAGAGGAGTCAAAAATTTTGAATCACCCAAAAAGTGTCATTCTTATAACACAAAAGCATTGAATTAGTTTTTCGGTCCTAATATTAACGTATGAGTATTTGTCTAACATCAATGCTAATCCGACGCCTCTATACTCACCCTTGAATACGGCCGAATCTTCTAATACTTTCATGTTTATTCATGTATCTTCAGACCTACTTGAGCATTCGTATTAATATTTAGCAGCATTCCTAATCTATGGGGTAGTTCTGAACACAAAACTGAGTTCTGCTATCAGTTTTAAACCTGTAAGTTTTCACACTATCTAAAAATAAAGGTACCACACAGAACCAGCAGAAGGCTCTGCAGTCTGCACAGAACCTAAAAAAGGTTTTGTATACAGAACCTTGTAAGGTTCTGAGCCCGGATACAAAATTAGAACCTACTTTTGGTTCTGCACAGTACCTTTTTTAAGTTCTGTATCCTCTACAGAACCTTAAGAGGCTCTGTAAACGAAACCGAACTTGGTAGGTTCTGTGCAGAATCATAGAAAGTTCTAATTTAGTATCAACCAATTTTTTAGAGAGTATCCAGCACAAAAATCAGTCTCTTATTACAAGGATCATAGCGAATCCTTTCGTGCAAATTGCGATGGTGTAAACGCCCACAAAGATCGGTACACTAACTTTTGATACACCTTATTACAGCAGTCAAATATGATCGTACGATGTACAACGAAACTGAAGCATAATATATATTGGCAATCGTGAAACAAACAGTCATATATGAAATAAATGCAGCGCTTCCGCTGAAAAAACGATATTTTCGGTTGTTGATTTTTTCCCATTAATAAAAGATGCGCATCAACCCATGTCGGAAGAACAGTTGTTCAACAGTTTTATGTTTTCGTTTCACGCTGCCTTACTAGCCTAAAACTGAATAATACAGTACGTAGATATAAGGACTATGTAATGTCTACATAAGCGACAGTCATTTAGTTATCGTAGTCTTTTTAACTATGCGAAGTACTAAATATTTATGCAGATGCCGATAATATGTCCGTCCACCGACTAATCATACCATACCTAAATATAAAAAAAACAGTTATTTAGTTCAAATATTGAGGTCTTACACTTATACGCACTTAAATGGCTTTTCAAAATGTGAAGATTTTTCGAGATCTTTGAAAGACTTTCCAGGTATTCTTAGTGTGTTTCATGTTTCTTTTGTCTTAGAAAAGCAAGGCAGAAATCAACAAGAACAATCCTGATAAGGCAGATGGTCACTCAGAAATAACGTTTGTACTCAAATCACCATACGATAAACTTCAATTAGTTGGACGATACTGGCCTGTTTCCGGAGTGAATGAACCGAATGCTGTTGTTTTATTTGTGCATGGCTCTGGTGAACATTGTCAATGATACAGACATGTTGCTCAGTTTTTCAATAAACACCAAATTCTATGTGGCGCGTATGATTTACGTGGTCATGGATTATCAGGTGGTGAAAAAGGCTTTATACCTTGTATGGATGCTGCGTTAGATGATCTTGAATGTGTCATACAATATATTCGTAAGGATCTTGGTTTCACTAGGCCATTAGTAATTTATGCACATGGCACTGGATGTAACAATTGTCTTGCTCATATACTTCAACGACGGGAGTCCCGACTGGACTCTCAAGCTATGATATTAAGTACGCCATCAATATATCTTAAAGAACGTCCTACATTCCTCGCGTTTTTAGCCTCGCGAGTTTTTGCGACTTTGAGTCCTCGTCTTCGTCTCCCTGTCAATGGAAACTACTCAAATGAGTACACTAATGATAAAGAAATAGTTGAAGCATATAGAACCGATGAACTTGTTCATGATCGATGGCCTGCACAAACTATTTCCGTATTACTCAAATTAGGTAAGTTATTAGAAACAACTGTGGTTCAATTTCCAATACCGGTGATGATTCAACACGGTACTGATGATAAGATTACACCAATCGAAAAGATTCAAAAATGGGCACAAGAGCGAGTAAAGGGTGATGATGTGACGTTCAAAAGCTGGCCAGGGCACTATCATGAAATACATAATGATATGGGCAGAGAAGATATTTTTAATCATGCATTGGAATGGATCGAAAAGCGTTTCAAAATTGAACAGAATTGAAAACAAGACGTTTCTTTTGCTCTGTTTTAAGTTTATTTTTCATTTAGTGCTTTCTAGCCGTAAGAACTGGATATGTGCTACGGAGTCAATAAACATATCAGAGTATATTGCCAAGGCTCCTATTTAAGTGCTAAGTAAATTTATTGAAAAACTAAGTAAAAAATTCAGTTTTTTCCAAGTAATTTATTGAGAATAACTCTAACTAAAAAGATCATTATTGCTAAGTATTTTATTTAAAATTTAAGCAAATAAATTTGATTTTCTAAGTAGAATATTGGAAATCAATAAGTAAATAAATAATTTTTCCTGTGTAAAGAGACATAAATACTAAGTAAAAAATTTAATTGTACAGTTGTTGTATTAATAAAACTTTTGCTGCTCTTCGTGGTCGTCCTGTTTTCCTTTTTTCACGCAGTAGTATACCCTTTGTTAATGGAGATGGTTTGCAAAACTTCAACCTAATATCCATACCAATAATATTTTTGCAAACATAGTTTTTGGGGCAGCTGAAGCAATAGTAAAAACCGATTTTCCATTATGATGGGTCAGAAAATAGGCATGTGTTTCAAAAGAAAACTAACAATCACAAAAATCAACACCCTAAACCTATATCCATTTATCGATGCATCCCTTTCAGTTTTAAATTGGCAAACTGAGACCAGTTAACTTGGAGCTTCAATTATTTTTGTAATCTAAGTGGTTCATCAGTATCTGACTCTTTTTTCGAAGTTAGTTTAATTGCATTAACTCAATGCAATCAAAAGACTAGTAAATATCGCTAATTCTTTTTACCGCTAGCAAATTCCACCCTGGTACATGCCTACATGGTTATTACTCATAATTCTGCGCAAACTTGTAACCTGGTGCTTAGGGACCCGTTCCAGTTTAAGACCCCCCTCAGAAAATCTCATTTTGTCAAAAATATCGGTTTTTGGACTTTATACCTGGCCGAATAGCGCACATTTTCTACTTCCGAACGCACTATAATTTTTTGGGTTTACGATGATTTTTGAGTACTATACTGAGGTCGTTTTGAAAAACATGCTCAAAAAATGATTTGAATACTTCAACTATTCAAGAAGTCCTTCAAGTTTCTCTGTGGGTTTCCGAGGATGAAGAACATAACCAGCACGTACCTGCAGATATGCTCCACACACTCCTAAACTCTCTCCAATTGGTTTCATCCTATACCGGTCTATGTAGAAAAAAAATTGAATTTCAATGCCAAAATTTGTGTCACGTTTTTCTTAAAATAGATTTTTCTGTTTTTTCCTGTTCATGCGTCGAAGATTTCTCGGCCGTTTTACATGCTAGAAAGCTCGGGAAGGTTTTAAATTGAAGAGAAAATTGCGCTCTACAGCGTGACAGAGCCGGATTTTTCATTTGCGGCTTATTGCTTGAAAAAAATGATTTTATAATACTAGTATTAATAGTTGTTCTCGTACGTAAAAAAAAGCAAAGATACGGCGACTATTAACAACTGGCGAACGTATACCTTTAGTATCAAATGATCAAGATGAAATTCTGCCATCAAGAATAAACCATCGTTTAATAATTGCTTTTATTCAAAACGTGCCACAGTTGTTTATTCAAATATTTCAAACAGTAAAACTGTGGTTTATTGAAACATCTCAAAAACCAACAAGACAGGATATTTCAATTTACAATTTCATTTTTTTCTGTTGTACTATACTAAATACTTTTTCGCTAAGTTATTTGGCTTGCAGTTGGACCAAATCATCACCGTTTAATACAATATTAGATTCAACTATTGATGAGGAAAGATACGGTTTAACGGATAAATATCTTGATAATACTAAAGCTATAAAAGATTTCTACAACTGGTAATCAAATGGAAAAAATATTACAATCGTCTGTACTATATTAATGCCACCAACATTCCTACAGTTTTTTATTAATAATAACAAAAAGAAAAGATTTCAAAAACTTCTTATATATTATCATTAATATTACTATCACAATTATATTTATTATTAATTCCAACATTTGTCTATAATTTTTTTCAATGTATGAATATTCGCCAGTCGTCAGATACATTTATACAAAGAAATCCTGACACTCGTAAGATGTTAAATAATGTTGTTGACGGAATATTTACACAGTATGTATATTTATTATTACAATCAATTGAACTATATTGTATTCAAAGTATACGCACTGGTATTATTATTGGATATATCCTGTATTTATTATTAATAAGAAAGCATTTAGAAAAGTATATAATTTTTAATGACAACCAACCAGAAGTAAATGTATCTCCAAATGGAACTTATAATAGTACAAATTTGTATATAAATACGTATATAAGTTGTATGAGATTGATTACTTATTTGTATAGTAGAATTAATCAATTTAATTGGTTGTGCATTACCTGCTATATTAATCTATCAAATGTATCAACATAGTTTGACTTCACTTTGAATATGGGCTATTGCAAAAATTGCTCCATTGCTTATATTAATCTTTATTATACCAACAACAATAAACAGCAAATATTTTCGGTGTCGAGTATGCACAGCATTACGTATTTATACTATTTTATTCACAATAACAACGTTCTCATTGTTATATACACAAGCCTATTAGAAATTGATTGGCAGTATCCGACACTTTTAACAATATTTATTACAATTATTACGCTACAAACAACATTAACTGCCTTGAATTCAGAATCAGTTGAAGTAGATGAAATAATAATTCATAAGATTGATCCAAATAGGTATGAAAGATTGTTGATAGTAGGAGGAAACTTCATTGAATTTATTGCAAAAATATTACTATTGTGCCTTCCAGTCATTCTGTTTGGTTTACCCTACTACCCAATATTTTTTTCCCACTACGCTATCATTGGCCAATACATCGTGAGGTTATACATAATTTTATTCAAACGAAGTCTGTTTATGGTTGGTGTCGTCAAATAAAAGGTAAACACTTTGTGTATTTATTGTAACTATAGCAAGAACTACAATCCATTTAAAAAAAAACAGTGCGCGTTGAAAAGAAATTTGTACGACATCACAAATAGTTATTCACCTGCGGTTTTCTGAATTGCATTGACACATCTAGTAGGGCACGCAGAGTCCTATAAGAAAATACAATTGAGATTGTATCTTTGCTTTTTTTCGAATGGATCTCTCCCTGTGAGGTTTTGAATGAAGGAATAAATTGCGTTTTCTTATAGAACTCTGCATGCTCTATATGTGTTAATGCAATTGAGAAACTCGCAGGTAAATAACTATTTGCGGTACAAATTTATTCAAATTCTTCCAACGCGTACTGTATTTTTAAATGGATAGTAGTTAAATATGGGGACAGCATCCTCATTCCACTCTCTTAAAAATTGAATCTTGAGGGTACATCTCCGCACAGACAGGGGAAAAACAAGAGGACAGACAACAAGAGGAAAACTCGTTGATTTAACTCCCTCTTAAGAAATACTCCACCGGAGCCACGACCAACTATGGATGTGAAGTTATTGTTGTTTTTAAAATAACTCTTTCTGTCATTTCTCCAAATATTCATATATAACTCATATGTAAGTATCTGCTACGCTCACAATTATATGCTCGTCCTATTTACTTGTAATACATTATATGGCATTCACATTTAGTAAAATGCTAAAAAAATCGTTATTTTGAGAATAACTTCACATTCCTTCCTAGTCGAGAGAGGGGCGAGGTTTTTCCTCAAGGCAAACGCATGATTGGATAGCTTGAAGTTTAAACTTTCATAATCAGTATAGTTTGTTGGTCGATGGATGGGTTTTAATCGTTCTGTTTTTCAATTTTTTTACCAGTTCCTCGCAAAATACACACAGCAATTGTAGCTGAGCCAATCGTTAAAATCGAGTATAGTCTGTCTATTAAAATTTTCCCAGTTAACAGAACTGTAGAGCGAATATATCTCACATTGTATTTGTAGAAAACAAATGAGCATAACAGTCCTGAGACGTATGGTCATCGGATATCATTGACTCGATTAAGTATATGGCTCGGATTTCTTTCAAGCTTAATATTAACAATATTAAAACAAAAAGGTAGTTCAATAAAAACAAAAGCAAAAATTATACAAGCATTAGTTGATGCTGATTATGTTAAAGAGTGGCCAGTGGATTCTGAAGGTGGTTCCTTATTTGATGGATCTTTTCAAAAATTAGACGAGTATTTATATTATGCGGAAATCTGTTATTGGGTTGGTACCTCGCTTTTATTTTTTACACTGCTTTTTGATTTGATTTCATATATACGGATATTAGAAGCACGGAAAGTAGAAGCACGAAAATGGCTTGTCTTAGTCAGATAACTTCATTTTTCACATTGATTCTTATATTTGTTGCTTTTATATTACCATCACTACTAAATTACATTAAAGCTGCCGATTTAAATACGGTTTGTGAAAAATGTGGTGCACCAAAATTTGATGAATTAATACAAAAAATGTTTGGTGGTGTAATTGGCACTGCAGCTCAAGCTTATCTGTTATTAAATTAATTTCCAGTTTTATTGTCAATATCACCAACAGCAATTCGTGTCGCTACATTATCATTGAAAGATTTAACGGTTTATGAAAAACGGTTTCTGTTCGCAAGAGTGACGGTAAATGAAAGTGACGGCGATGATAATGATGATTATGAAAGTCATGAGAAAATTGCTTATGAAGAAAAATCACGGCAGTTATTACGATTGATATATTTATCGGCATTTATTTCACCAATACTAATTGCATTACCGTTGTCATTATTCTATCAAATATTAAAATATCAAGATATTTCTAGCAGTTTACCGACAACTTTAGGCGTACTAATTGCCTCGTTTATCTTAGTTCCAATACTTTTAGAATTACCTACAATGACTAGTACAATTAAAACTTATAAAACTAATTATTATGTGTATTTAGTTGCATATATTGGCATATTTATTGGTATCGTCGGTTATTTATATACACTTAAGCCTTTACAAAGCATAATAAGCAAAGAGCTAAAGTCAGCGCAATATTATTTAACGGTAATAGCCGAAATATCAGTTAGTAATGTTATCTTTGGAAATTTTATTTTATTTTGTATACAATTTTAAAACGAACTTCATCTCAATGAACTACAGCGCGTGTCAATTAAATTTTTCTTCTTTGTTTTCTTTGCTTAAGACTATTGCAGTTTGCTTTTTTTCTATAATTGATATATAACGGTATAGGTCACTCGGATGATGACGTAACCACTGATATTTTCCTTTTCTGTTGTATAAACATAAGTGACAAAGATAACAAAAAGAGATGCGAAGTAAACAACTGTAGATGATATAAGCTTTATTATATTATGTAATGAAGAGAAGAAGAAAAGAAACTACTGAATAAAAGACATATGAACAAAACAAAAAGAAAGGGAAAAACCCATGAGATCATTTTAACTGTTCTGTAAAGTAAAAAGTTGCAAATGTACAATTATCTATAGTTAAAGAAAGAGTAGTTAAGGTGCCAATAATCCAAACTTCGGCCAAAATTTGTTCTGCACCATATTATACACCACTGGATAGCCCCCATCGAGCTGATTATAAAAATGTGTCTTTTAACTTTTCAAAACCGATTTTTCGAATATTCGAAGGCTCTTAAAAGTCGAAAAATTCTTCGAGTTAGAAAAGGTTCAAATTTTTGTCTTATTTTTCCGTTTATAATTTTAAAACTATAGTTTTTTCTTATTCAGCGTCGAAAAATGATACTTGATCAGTTCCGGAATTAAGAGCTTGTCCTCCATAGACGTCGCTATCTGACGGTCTTAATGCGAGCATACAATTGGTAAACCTATCTAGTTTTTTTTGTGAGTCATTGGAGCATTCATTTACACTACATTAGATTACCTGAGA